ATCTTTGGCTATTACCAGCATGCTCATACATATTTCACATACAAGAATATACATATATACTTTTTCTATATATATTTAGAGATGGGGGTCTCACTTATACATTTGCCCAGGCTGGTCTTGAACTCATGGCCCCAAGCGATCCTCCTGCCTTGGCCTCTGAAAGTGTTAGGATTATAGGTATGGGCCACCACGCCTGGCCGAGAGTATATCTTTAGGGTAAATTGGTTAGGGCACTTTGGTGATTGGCCTGTTCAAGTGACTATATAACCACAATACTCTGTGTGGAATCAATATGTCATGCTTAAATATGGGTCACAGGATGTTATAGCTAGAAAGGATCTTAGAGATTCCAAAGAAAGCCAAGATCACAAAGAGAGTTAGTCCATAATGTAGCTGTTTTTACTATACCATACTGCTGTGTGGGAGAGAGATTGGGCATGCCCTGATTTCAACAAACAGGACTGTGTGCTTTCTGGCCTGCTGTGATGTCACTATCCTGTCTTTACCAGATTTCTCTTTCCAGAGTCTTACTTTGCCAACCTGATTTTCTCTGCTGCTCCAACCACTATTAATAACTGCTCAGATTAATCATAACCACTTTTTCCTTTTTAAGTTAAAACTGAAATCCTTTACAGTTTGCGGACCCTTTCTTTAGTAGTAAAGCCAAGTAGGAGAGGCAGGAGTGCTAGGGAGGTGATTAATATCTTTCCTGTTCCTTTCTACTCTTACTTAGCTCATCCACTGAGTCCTCATGCAGTCTACTAGGGAAAGTTCTTTTCTCCTCTTGGCACTGCTAGAATATCTCTTTCTCTTGGCCATAAGATTGAACACCTCAAGTACCAAATGTATGAAAGTGTATGCACATAGTTTTATTCTTACTGAATTACACCAAGGAGATAATATTATTTGTCTACAGCACGAGGAAATCAGGGACTTTGGTGTCAGGGACAGACCCTTGTGTGCAACTCTTAAGTTGATCTTAACTCTTGTCTGGCTATAGAGGGGTCAACTGCTACAAATATTTATGAAATGCATGCTGTGATGATGAATGAAACAGTTCTAGGAACAGACTGTAGAACTATCTCTAGGACAGTTTTTCTCAAAGTTTCCTTCTTTGACCACTTGTATTGCTTGAAGGTTGGGACCCAAGAGTGTGCAAGTAGTCCTCCTCTTCCCTCAAGTGATTCTTTTGTGAACTTAACTATGAGAACTACTGCCTGAGAAATGATAAGTTGGGAGATGGTCATGAGTCTTTCAATTTGGGGCAGCCTATAAAATTAGTGACAAGAGCTGGCTAGCAATTCTAAGTCTCATATGGTTATTTCACTTGGGCAGACATAAAGACCGGGTTAGGTGACCCCGATGTGCTCCCACACATTCTATGCTTCTGTCATAACCCTTATTATGCTGTATTGTAATGGAATATTTTTGTCCCTTCCCTGTATAATCCAAAGGGTTTTAGCTGTGAGCAACAGAAACTGACTGGCTAATTTAGGCAGAAAATATATGTATTGAAGGCATATTGAATAGCTCACAGAATCACTGGTTGGGCTGGAGAACTAGACTCAGGACTACATAGCCAACATCACAACTGCCACTGTTGCTACCAATACCTCTGCTACTGCTGTCAGTGTTAGCTCAGGTCCTCCAAAGAGCAGGTACCAAGATGGGATCAAACCTGCAAGGGATCAATTTGGGGAAATGCCCATGGCAGAAAACAGGGTGGGAACTGGAAGAGGATGGGAGAACTGTTAGACTGCAATGTAAATCTGACCTTTATGGATAAGCGAAGACAAGAAGGTTGGGACGGAAGAGACTTTGAAGTACAGTTCAATTAAAATTTGGCCAGGCCAGTGGGAGTCTTGTAGCCAAAGTTGCGTATTGGAAAATTTGTGTGTCTCCCAGAAATGGGCCTGACTTAGTATCCTTACTGTGCTCAGTTATTGACTAGAAGCAGAGTGGCCTCAGAGCAAAGCAGCAAATATTGGGGTGAATTGAGAACATAGCAGCCAGAGCAAAGGTCAGTTACACTCCCCAGAGTGGGAGAACTGAGAGGTACATTTTCTTTTCTTTTCTTTTCTTTTTAAGTTGGAGTCTCACTCTGTCACCCAGACTGGAGTGCAGTGGCCGCTCCCAGCCACTGCAGCCTCGACCTGCACCTTTCTTGCAGAATTCTGGTGCTGCTCAGAGGGGGAAATTTGGCTCTTGAACACTACATAGTATTCAGGGGACAACCTTGGGGACACCTCAGATGACCAGTCCTTGGGAGATCAGTGCTTTTAATGGAGAAGGGGTTTCCAGAGTCTCAGCAGGCTCATGAGTGCCAACATTTTCAGCATCTCTAGTCCTAAGAAAAGTAAAGAGCTGGAATCTAGAGATAGCTTGAAAGAGCAAGAGTATTTGGACAGAACAGGGCAGATTCTCAGTTAGCTTCTTCCAGCAGGGCAAAGGAACAGGGAAATAAGAGAACAGAGGATTTAGTGACCTAAAGCGCCAGAGAGTCCTAGGGCTGAAAATAGAGAAGGATGAGTGGGTGAGGGGGATCAGATGGCAGGAACTTTACAGGTCTAAACCAGCCACAGGGGAACTCAATAAAAGTATAATTGTAGGGAGCCTACAATAACTTAGTTGGGGGATAAAAATTAATGCACTTGAAATAATTTGTAATTTGGTGCTAAACTGTGGCACCAACAAAAAAAGGTTTTGGAACTCCAAGAAGGGACAGATCATGTAGGCTGGCATCCCCTGTGATCTGAAGAACTGAATAAGACAGTGCTCATTCAGTCAGAGAATTTCATGCCCCAGCTACAGTGGCTACAGCTACCTCTAAGGTGAGTGTGTCTCAGTCTTGCATGGTTTCATGGAGGACGTATGGGGGAGGAAGCTTCACCATCATCACTATTTGTCTATCACCATCGTCATCAATAAGCGCCACAGTAAACATTGATTGAGCATCCCCCCCAACTTTATACTTGCTGAGAAGGCAGGGCAAGCACACAAAGAGTTGAAAAACTAGTGCAAGATTGCATGTGCCAGTAACACAAAGACAGAAAAGTGAGGACAGAAAGGTGAGAGAAGGCTTCCTAGAGGAGGTAGTCCTTGAGCTGACCCTTGAAGGGAGGTCAGGGTTTGGATTAATGGAGTAAAGGGTGAAGGGGCTGTCAATGGCATCAACAAGACACAGAGGTGGGAGTGAGCAAGGCAAATATGAGAAATGAGAACTGGAGCAAAGAGTGTATGGTAGGGTAGCGTGGGTGGCAAAGTTTGAAAAGGGAGTGGTGATTATGGAGAGCCTTGAATTGACAAGCAAAAGGAGTTGTTTTGGAACAAAGTAGGAAGGCACTGTAGATTTGTGTATTTGGGGAGAAGTGAGGTCATTGGGAAGAAGGAGGAAAGGCTAAAAGAAAAATGTTGGCCTTCTACATTCTTCCTAGTTTCACTCTCCGACGTTAGGGTGACAAACTCATCCCATCCCAGTGAAGTGGGGTGAGTTGGTCACCCTGCCTGAGATCTACCTTGTGAACAGGATCCTAAAACAGCCCCAAGACATTCTATACCATATACTGCTGGTGGACAACCTTGGCCCAGTTGGAATGTCTTAACCAATCAAAGAATACTTTGACTGAAGTTCTCAATAGTGTTGACCTTCCTCTGAAACGAAAGGAAGAAGGAGCAGCCTCCTAGCCCAGCTGCTAGCACAGGTGCAGGTCAAGATGGAGACTGCTTCGGAAGGCAACAACCTTTAGATGTTGAATCTGTTCCTGCATTAGTCCTGGGGAAAGGAGGCCACAATCACAGGAACCTTAAAACACACACACAATGACAAGACTAAGTCTGTCTTGAGGCCATTATTTTGGTGGCTACTACTTTGCCATTTCTCACATAGATTCCTTTTGCTGACTTCCTGCAGCACTCTGCTACATTTATATTATTACCAGGAGGCAGATGTTTTCTCTTTTTCTCTGGGGTTTGGAATTATGCAAATAAAGTCTTACAAACAGAAGCTCAGTGAGGGTTGGCAGAATTGTACTTAAGAATCCAGGCAATTTTCCGAGTTCTTTAAAACACCCCTCTCAGTTTTTGCTAACAGTTCTCTTAGCTCTTTGCCAGTCTATTTAGAGGCTGGCACCTCTTCCGAACCTTTCAACCAAAGACCTGAAAGTTCATTCTAAAGCTCCTATACTGGCCTCATTTTGCAAGTGGAGAAATCAAGCCATATAATATGAACTTTCAGTATCTGTGGGCTGACCTCGAGTCCTCACCTCTATCTAGTTCTTTCTTTCCTCTGCTGGGAACTCTGGCCCAATTGCCTCCCAGGCTCTCCTTCTGGTAATATTATCTGGAGGGCAGTAGGACCTAGGGAGGTTCAACCCTGAGGCCCAGGGGACACACCTGCCTAACTACGTGGGTTGAGTGAGTGTGCAAGCGAGTCACTTAGGGAGGGCAGAGTAGAAGTGGGTGCCTGCTGCTTTTAGGGAAGAGGAAAGCCGTGGCTCCCTCCTGGGTCCGGGATTCATGGGGAGAAGTATTTTTTAAGAGTGGCCCAAGTTCCTTTTTGTCGCGCCTCTTCACACGGAGCATCCCTCCTTGGCTGGCATCCCAGGAACTCTGGCTGTTTTTGTTTGGCCCCAGCTGTCCCACCCACGTCGCCCGCCCTCGCCATCCTAGTGCCTTAGCTCCTGAAGCTGCTGACCTCTCGCGGCTGGAATCGCGGGCCAGACAGGATCCTGGCAGCAGCCGGCGTCCAAGAGTTTGGTGACATATGCCCAGCCAGGTTGACGCCCCCCACGTTGTGCCTGTCACTAGCAAAGTTTCTCCGAGAAGAAACCCCTCCAGCCTTTACTTGATCCTGTGGAGCGCGTGCGCTGTGCTTCTCTCCCTGGGGACTGTTCTGCGGGACTGGGTGGTGGCTGTACTCTGGCCCCAGGCCAGGCTGTCTTGGGGGCGGGGCTTGGGAAATCCGGAGAGCCATCCTGAGAACCCTGGACTAGGCGGAGGACCTGGGAGAGCTCAGGTGAGCCGGCGAACGCATCGCCACCACCCAGCAGTAGCTAGGATACCTGGGCACCGAACTGATGGGACGCTCAGGCTGCTCCCCCTCTTCTGCCCTGGCTCAGTTCTCCGCTGACTTGAGAGGGCACCCCGGACAGGAACTGTGAAGAGCTGCTGAGTGTCGGTGCCCGGTAGAGGATCTATCCCTCTGCCTGGGGTGGGGAGCTGCGAAAGGAGCCGCCACGGAAGCCGACCAGCTGTTCTCATGGCTCTTCATGCGCCTGGAATTGGGCTCCAAACCGTGCACTGGGATGCTTGTTTTTTGTCTTGTTCAAGTCTCACAGCACATGTTGACGATTGAAATTCTGGGCCAATCAAGAGTCAAGTTCAAAGTGGTACTCCTGAGCTCTCCGTCCCAGACTCAAAGTTGAATTTGAGTCGAGAAGAAAGGGATCTCTTGCTCTAACTAGTGGATCTCTGTTCGGGAACCGGACTTGACAGAACTCTCCCCACCGATTTTTGGACTGCAGTGGCTACAGGATTCTCTTGGGAATGGGTGGGATGGTGCTCTGAACACCAGACCACAGCACTCAGAAAGAACCTCGGCAATGGACAGAGTTTATGAAATTCCCGAGGAGCCAAATGTGAATCCGGTTTCATCTTTGGAGGAAGATGTCATCCGCGGGGCCAACCCCCGCTTTACCTTTCCATTTGGCATCCTCTTCTCCACCTTTTTGTACTGCGGAGAGGCTGCATCTGCCTTGTACATGGTTAGAATCTATCGAAAGAATAGTGAAACCTACTGGATGACATACACCTTTTCCTTCTTTATGTTTTCATCCATTATGGTCCAGCTGACCCTCATTTTTGTCCACAGAGATCTGGCTAAAGATAAACCACTATCATTATTTATGCATCTAATCCTCTTGGGACCTGTTATCAGGTGAGCAACTTTTTAATCTCTTCTCCACCCCCACCTCCACCACATGCAGAGATATGAAACTGATATTTACAAGACTGATACTATGCCTTTAATCAATTCTTCCATTCCCTCTCACTCTTGGCTTCCCTGTCTACTATCCAAAAAACTTATCTGAAATTCTAAATGTCACCATGATGAACATGTGGCATGTACCTGTGTTCCAAAACTATGAATGATGGATAAGACTTCACTAGACAGTGCTTGCTGATAGATTTGGGCTGTGAAAACTGGTGTGAGACCAACAGATGTGATCAGCCTATGCACACAGGCCATACCTGCTGTGTATAGTTTTGACTCTGCCTTTTGGATGCTCTGTAAATTGGATAAAAGTCCTCACAGCCTATCATTGCATGTCATATTCAGTTTCTTTACTCTGAGTTACTTGGGCCAGTGCTACTGCTGTTTTCAAATTTTCCAGAGTAGTTTGACATCTGGAAGCATTTTAAACCATTTGTAGTAATCTGGTACCCCAACCTAATGTAGTTCATCAGTCTTCTGCTTATTTTTTTGAGTCGTAGTCTCAGTCTGTTGCCCAGACTGGAGTGCAGTGGCATGCTCATGACTACCTGCAACTTCTATCTGCTGGGCTCAGGCCATCATTCTTCCACCTCAGCCTTCCAAGTAACTAGCAACTACAGGCATGCACCACAATGCCTGGCCAATTTTTTTATTTATTGTAGAAATGAGGTCTCACTAAATTGCCCAGGCTGGTCTTGAACCTCTGGGCTTGGGCAATCCTCTCACCTCTACCTCCCAGAGTGCTGGATTTACAGGTGTGAACAACCATGCCCAGCCTTTTTAATTTTTTTGTGTGTTTCTGCAATAAAAATACACAGTTGGGAGGGGGCAAAAGTAAGGAAGATAGTTCGTCTCTCTATGTGACTGCAGTAGAACAATGTAATAGTATTGTGTTTCCATTCAGATTACCTTGAAGGGAAAAGAACTTGCTTAATCCTAGGGAGACAGGTATGTGTGTCAGCTGTCTCATCTTGATGCTATGGAGTTTTCAAGGTAGAAGGATGTTGCAAAACTTATGAGGTCAGATGGAAGGAATGGACCAAGTTTGTTTCGATTGCGAGAGGCAGACAACTGAAGTCAGCTGAGGAATGTGGGTCAGAGGTGTTGCAATGGGGAGATATCTCATCGTTAGACAACTAAAAACAGGCTGTAAAGCCAATTAAGGATGGAACCCCATCTGTAAATTGTTTTTATCTATAAACATATATATATATATAACTTTTATTTGTCAATTATACCTCAAAAAAGCTGGACATTTTTAATCAATGTATTTTTAATGGGAAGGTATCAATTAGAGGAATTGACAGAGAAAATATGGGATATGAGCAGAAAACAGTGGTCTGGGGACTCCTCTGTCTGTCATTGACTAGTTGTGTGGCCTTGATAAAATCTCTGAAAATGTCTTGGGCCTCAGTTCTCTCATCTGTAAAGTAAATGGCTTGGGCTAGATCATAGGTCTCAAACTCAAATGCTTACAGGGGTCAGGCAAGTATTATAAATGAGTGAAGCTGGCTCAGTGTAAGAAAAACAGTAGCCTCATATTGCTGCTAAAGGAAAACAAAATCTCAATGTCAGAGAACATCATTGTAAATGAACTAACTCAGGAACAGAAAACCAAATACTGCATGTTCTTACTTGTAAGTGGGAGTTAAACTAAGGATATGTAAAGACATAGAGAATAGTATAATGGACACTGAAGACTCAGAAGGGGGAAAGGAGGAAGGGGTGAAGAGACAAAGAAAATCACCTATTGGGTGCAATGTGCTCAGGTGAGGTGGTGGGTACTCTTAAAGCCCAGACCAAAACTATTTGTATCACCCAAAAGCATTAAAACAAAACAAAACAAAAACAAAGTCTTAATGTCAGAGAAATGATGAGGAGTAGTGTGTACCATGGCAGTCTGGAATCTGCGTTACCTGCCTAAAGGAGGCAACTGCTCTACAGCTCCAGCTTATTCCATGTTGGATTCCCCAACTTTTCAGGAGAAGCTCCCAAGACAGGATTTTATATGAAATGTCATGATTTTAAATTTTGACAACTGACTTAAAAAACCACAATACTACAGTATAGGCCAAACCACATCTGTTGGTCAAATGTAACTCAGCTGGCCTATATGCTATCTTTGGACTTGGTGACAAAGGTCCTTTCCAGTTCTAAATCTTTGAAGGTAAACTGTAAAAGGAAGACCTCATCTTGAATTTGGAACCAAGAAATTTAAAGATGCCACTAGAGGAGCAAGGAAACCATTCTGTCCTTTTTCAAATGCTGTCAATAGATCAAGAACTCTCAAGATGCAAATTTTAGCAAGTGCCCATTCCCCCTCCCATTTTGATTTCCTTTGCTTTGTGGTTTCCCAAGCCATCTTTTTATTTTAAATTAGAAAATATAGTTTATTTAAAGGTAAATTAGAGAGAGAAAGAAAGAGGAGATTCACCTCCCCACAGTAGGGGAGGGGGCCAAAGCTTAAGAAAGCATGGCCTGGCCATAGCTCAAAGAGCACATGGCCATACCATACCTTAGCAAGGCAATGGCCCCAAGCCATCTTTGATTTGGACCTTCTGTATGGAGTATTGAGTACTGTTTTTCATTTTTATTGTTTAGCTTCCAACTAGGAGTGACTGGGAAGTACTTATAACCTCAGGCAGCTAAGCCCACAGCAGGGAAAATAATAATTAAAAACTCATAAATTATATTCTTGATTTGCTTCTTTTCTTTTCTTTTTTAGAAAGCAGGATTTATTGAGAGGAAAGAATTACTTTTTAGGTAAGTAGGAACTTGATTAGTGCTATCAGGCACATAAAGGTGCTTGTAGGGCCTGGCTTCCTTCCTTGAAATGCAAGCTTACTTCTGGAAATGAAAATGTGTTCTAATTTACTGAAGCTTATAAGCAAGGCAAACATCCTTATTTAAACCAGTAAATAGCCTTAAGAGCAGAAGCATAAACAGAGCATTTCGTACCACCACCTTCCCTTTGTTTTATTCAGCAATAGCATTGATGGGTGTGAGTTAAAATCTGAAATATTTTGTTGAAAATGCAGTTATGCAGAACAGGAACAGGAAAAGAGTGTTGCCTTTTCTGCTGTGTTCTTTCTTTCCATCTTTTTCTCTCCCAGGTCTCAGAGTTTTTCCCTAGAAAGTGGAAGTTTCAAACTATACTGTTCAGAGTGGAACACATGCACCAATCTTAGGGTGATCTGTGGAGAATGGCAGCCAGCACACATTCCAACCCTTCCTATCTGGAGCCAAAGCCTAGAGAGCATATAAAATCTCTGAGCTTGTCTTTGGTCTTTTTTTCTGTTAAATTGCATTGCTATTATGATTATCCTCTTCTCCTATCATTTCTTACCCTGTATTCGTTTTGTCCTTCTCATTCTTTTTTACTCAGAATATATTTATCAAATCCCATTATGTGATAAGGGTTGTGAACAAGATAAATACAACTCTTGCCCTCATTCTTTTGAGGAAGCTGTCTTAATTTCCATTACCAATGTTCTTACTTGTCATAAAAAGCACAATTTCCATTCATTTCAAGGTGAATGGGAGAAGTGGTAACTCGGGTGTTCAAAAACAAGATGTTCTAGTTGTTTTTCTTCTATTCACCACCTTAGAACTACTAAAGACTTCTGATTTATATGGGGGAGATGGGAGGAGTATAGCAGGAAATGTGCTCTTATCTCTATTTCAAGATGATAGGCTCTCATAAGGATGCTTTCTTCTTTCTAAAGAAAGAATCCAGTTTAAAAGGCTGTTGTCCCCAAGCAGGTCAAGAGGCACAAAAAACAAATTTTACAGAGATCTTTTTAGGATCCCTAGGTATGTTGTTTATTCAGTTCTGAATTGTCAAGTCTTTTAAGTACCATTATTGCTTAAATGGCTTTCTGTGTATATGAGAGATTTTGTCCTGTTCTCTCCCAAGACTTTTTGGTTGAAACATTTATAGTTGTGGGTGCTTTCTTGGAAAAGCAGAACCTAATAACCTCAATTATGGAGTGGAATGCTTTGAGTAAGGAATGCTTTACCTCAGGAACTTGAGGTGTTATACACACAGGGCCTTTGGGAACCTTCATCATTCTCTATCAACATAGTATTAACACCTTTTGTTCAAGGCACTTTTCTACCATGGGTCTATTCTTAAAAAGACAAAACAACTTAAGTCCTCAAATAAGTACTTTGAAATGGCATTGTTAGGTCAGTGGATGACCAAACAAAAACGGATTTAGACTCAGGTAACTTGTAGAAGGAATGACCAACCCTTCAACTCATGACACATGAGCAGAGCAGAAGAGAGAAAATGGCAAAAAGTACAACCCCCCCCCAAATTATTTTTTCCCCTCATTATAACATCCCTTCCCAGGACAGTTTTAGTTAAGTTCCCATGATGCTTTACTTCTGCAGATGTTTGGAGGCCATGATTAAGTACCTCACACTGTGGAAGAAAGAGGGGCAGGAGGAGCCCTATGTCAGCCTCACCCGAAAGAAGATGCTAATAGATGGCCAGGAGGTGCTGATAGAATGGGAGGTGGGCCACTCCATCCGGACCTTGGCTATGCACCGTAATGCCTACAAACGAATGTCACAGATCCAAGCCTTCCTGGGCTCAGTGCCCCAGCTGACCTATCAGCTCTATGTGACCCTGATCTCTGCAGAGGTCCCCCTGGCTAGAGGTGAGTGGGGTCAGGAGAAGGGAGGGCTTCACTTACATTAAGGGTCTTAGAAGTCTAGATCCAAGCTGTCCAATAGACTGGTCACTAGCTTCACGTGGCTATTTACATTGAAATTAAATAAAATTAGTCTGGGTATGGTGGCTCATGCTTGTAATCCCAGCACTTTGGGAGGCCAAGGCAGGAGGATCACTTGAGGTCAGGAGTTCGAGACCTAGCCTGGGCAACATAGCAAGACCTTATCTCTATTTCAAAAGAAAATAATAATTTAAAATTTTTTTAACTTCCTCATTAATATTAGCCACATTTCAAGTGCTCAGTAGCCACTTGTGGCTAGTGACTACAATATTGGATGGCATAGACAGAGAACATTTTCATCATCACAGAAGGTTCTGTTGGACAGCACTGGTAGACAGTCAAAGAACTTGGGGAGTCAGACATCTCAGGCCTGCCAGAGTTCTTAAAGTTGGGTAAGCTAATGTTTAAACTAAAAATGTCACAATTAAACCCTCTCTGGGCCCAGAATAAGCTAGTAATACCAGCAGTCAGTAGAATATTTTCCCTTGCCCAGAGTGTTTGCATTATTTTGTTAGTTGTTTAGTTGTTTTGTTTGTTTGGGGATGGTCCTCTTTATTAAATTTCCCAAATATTATTGATCATCAATCACTTAGTAAGTTTTTTTTTAAAATTACAGTCCCTCCTCAGATCTGAATCAATCCCAGAGTGTGGGGAGACCAGGAACCTGTATTTCTAAAGAGTACCCCAGTTGATTCTGATCAGCCACATTTGAGAACCACAGATTTAAACATCCCTCCCAATACCAGTGGAGAGAGATAAAAAGAGTGTGGGACAATACTAATGAAAGTCAGGCCTGGTCCGAGTTCTGACCTTCACCATGATCTTTGGAGAAAAATCACAAAAGAGTGATTGCCTTAATTTCCCACTTGTAAAAGAGGGAACTTGAAATGAGTAAGATTTTTAGCAGAGTATGACATGTGAGTCAGTGTTTTCAAAGTTGAGGTCAAGTGCTATTAATGAGTTTTAACAGACAGATTAGCTTCATCCGCTTGAGCAGGAGCTGTTATAGGTATGGGTATAACTTTGGGCCATTTTCTTATTATTAGGGCTAACTCTATTTGGTAAAGTCCCCTGTCTCAAGTAAATGCAAAGAGGAAATTTGCCCTCTTTTCTCCACTAAGAATTGTTCATGAAGTTATTTTGTCTTGAAGCTTTTCATATATGTAGAATTAGCAATACTTGGAGGAAAAAACTCTTTGGAAATGATGATTGTTTTCCTTCTGAGAATTTTGAGGATCATCAAATTATCTAATTAAAATATGTGTACATTATAAAAGTAATATATGCACAACCTGATTGACCTGCTGGTAATTGTATATGCACAGAAAATTTCTGGAAAGCTATGTAAGAAACTACCTCTGATGGGTAGGAATGAGAAGTCAGCAGACTTTTACTTTTTACTTTAAATCTTTCTGTATGGTTTGAAATTTTTTTCATGATGATGCATACTATTTTGGTTCCTTATTTTTTTTAGTTATAAAAATAAGACATGGTTATGGTAAAAATTAAAAACCATACAGAATAGATTATAAAATAGGAAATATAATCTCACTCCCCAAAGATAATCTGTTAATCACCCAGTATATATCCTTTTAGATTTCTTTTTACTATGTAAATATAAACATATGGGTCAGGCGTGTTGGCTCATTCCTGTAATCCCAATACTTTGGGAGGCCGATGGGGGAGGATTGCCTGAGTCCAGGAATTTGTGACCAACCTGGACCACATAGCAAGACCTTGTCTCTACAAAAACTGGAAAAAATTAGCCAGGTGTGGTGGTAGGCACTTATACTCCCAGCTACAAGGGATGCTGAGGTGGAAGGATCACCTGAGCCCAGCAGGTCGAGACTGCCATGAACTGTGATTGTTGTGAACGTGCCACTGCACTCCAGCCCAGGCAACAGAGTGAGATCCCAACTCAAAAAAAAAAAACAACAAAAAACAAAAAAAACCATACAACATATATTGTATATGTTTTTGCTAAAAAATTAACTTATATGAAGCATTCTGTTTAGTAACATGCCTTTTTCAAAAGTATAGTATGCCATCTTTTTCCAATGGTTATTTATATATAAGGGGAAACCCCAAAATGGGAATTTATTTATAAAAATTGTGTATTCTTCCATTTTTAAACTTCAGTCACCTTCAAAGTACTCTCCGTTTGATACAGTACACCTACTGAGACATTTTTTTCCACTGCTCAAAAGTATTTGAACTCATCAATTTTGATGCCTTTTAGTGCTTTTGCTATTTTTTTCCTCTTCTACATTGACAAAATGTTTCCCTTTGAGGACTTTTTTCATCCGGGGAAACAAAAAGGAATCTTGGGGCGTGATTGGGTGAATAGGGAGGGTGGGGCACAGTGATCATGCTGGTTTTGGTCCCAAATTGCTGAACACTCAGTGAGGTGTGGGCAGGTATGCTCATCATAAATCACCCATGATGAAATGGGCAAATGTATTGAAGATCGCAAAAAAAAATTTTTTAATTTACTGAAACCGAATGCAGCCTCTTAGAACAGTGCTAGCTGATACACTGATGCCAATGAGTTCGTAGAACACTTAGGCATGAGAAGCCTGTATTACAAGGGTCTGCCCTCCAAAAACTAATTCTGGGTTTTTTTGGGGTCCCCCTCTTATACATATATAAAAATAATAAATATTTAATATAGATTTATTTTATATTAGACTATTCTTTTTTGTTTTCCTAATTTCCTTTTTTTTATTTTAAAGATGTGGGATACAATTCAGGATTAGGTACATAAGTGGTCATCGTACAGGTGAAGTTTAGGCCTCCTGTTGGTCCCCACTTTGCCTGGTTGGGATCAGGTACCCTTATTAGTGTTATGTGCCCCCCATTGTCTATTGATAGGATTAAAGTTTGTTTCTAATTTTTCACAATTTTTTTATAATTAAAAAGTTATGCTACAGTGGATGTCTTTATAAATGTCTGTGTTCTTGAATGAGACTTTGTAGTAGAAATTTTGAGTGAAAGGATATGTATGTTTAGAATTGTATTGATAATGCCAAATAACCTTCCCAAAAGATTGTTTGAATATATACTCCCACTAACAATATACAAATGTGCCTGTTTCTTCATATCTTAAACTAAATATTACTTGATTATTATTGACTTTTAAAAATAATATGCTTACTCTGATTATGAGTGGAGCTGAGCATATTTTCATGTTTGGTCATTGAGTGTATTCTGTGAATTGCTTATTTATGATCTTACTTTTTCTAGTGGGTTGTCTTTTTTGTATTAATTTGTAGGAGTTATTTACTTATTCTGGCTAATAATCCTTTATCAGCTGTGGGTGAGAGTGCATGCATACATTTGTATAAGTTTTGTTTGTACGTACATGTTTTAAATGTGTATACACATGTCATGTATCACATGTGTGTGAAATATTGCACTTAATATTCACAATATACTTTGTAGTGTCTTCTGGCATTCTGAAGGATTACATTTTATGTATTCAGATTTTTTATTGCTTTTAGATTTTGTGCCTTTCTTACAAAGGCCTTTTGTAACTTTCCTCTGGTAGAGCAGTTTACTCCAAACTAAATAGATTAATTTTCAAGATTAGTTTGTCAATTCCTCCACTGAAAAATAAGATAAAGCAAAAACCATAGCAACAAACGAAGAAACATTTCATTGAAATTCTGATTGGGATTACATTAAATTATTTAAGTTATTTGGAGGGAAAATTTACGTGTTTACTGTTTATATGTTTATGATCAATTTCATATTGGAAGATGATAAACCCATTTCATTAAATCTTTTTGAATGTACTTCAGTAAAATTGTATTGTTTCTTTGCTATAGGTCTTACACATTTTTGTAAGGTTTATTTCTAGATGTTCTATCAGTTTTAAAATGACCCGATTTTCTTTTATTTATTTATTTATTAAATTTTTAAATTTTTTTGAGTTGGAGTCTCACTCTGTCACCCAGACTGGAGTGCAGTGGCCGCTTCCAGCCACCGCAGCCTCGACCTGCTGGCCTCTGGCGATCTTTCTGCCTCAGCCTTCCAAGTAGCTGGAACTACAGTCGTGTGCTACCACCTCCAGCTAATTTTTTGATTTATTGTAAAGATGAGGTCTCGCCAAGTTGCCCAGGCGGTTCTCGAACCCACAGGCTTAGGCAATCCACTCAATCTACTCACCTCAGCCTCCCCTGTCCCCCCCGCCGGCAATTTCCCACTACTGACATCCTTTTCTTATAGTATTATGATAATTGTTCAAGGTCCACTTATGAGTGAGAACATGTGATACTCAGTTCTTTGTTTCTGTGATCACTCAGTGATCATTTATATTATATTCATATTATAGATCACTCAGTATTATAGACTCTAAGTCCATCCAAGTTGCTGTGAAATAATGACCTGATTTTCTAAATGTCAGGATAGTGCCCAGGTTTTGGAAATAGAAGGATGGAGGAAGAGGGAGTGGGGGAAGAAATGGAGGAGGCTGGAAGATGGAATTAACTAGATTCTAGGCATTTTTCTAGGCCCTTCAAATGTAAATATTTCATTTAATCTTCACAACAATCCTATTAGATAACTATCATTATCCCAATTTTACAAATGAAGAAAAGAGAGGCACTGAGAGGTTAAGTAAATTTTCCAAGGTCCTTTAAGGAGTAGACTGCAAAGATTGGATTGGAATCCAGGGTATCTGCCTCTAGAGCCTGCATTTCTAACTATTGCAGCATTTTTATCTATAGGGCATGAATCTATTTGTAGTGAGACAGATGAAAAGCATTTTTACATTTATTGAAAACATGTTTTCTTCTTTCTATTACACTATTAATCAATAAATTAGTTATAATGTAAGGGAAAGTATTGCCACACTTGACTAGATGTATGCTCTGAAATTCCCAGCTCCACAAGGAGCATCATCTCTTGAGGATGGGACTGCTAGTAACTGAGAAACAAGAGTAGCCACTTTGGGAGTCTCCCATTTCAGTCTCTGAGATTCCAACACTCTACTTACAACTGAAGAAGAACTCAGAAACAACTGTGCTTCTTTTTGGGTCTTCATGGGGGAAATCTCCACTTTTCTTACAGATTAAGTTTCCCTAGATCCAATATGTTTATGGGAACAGAAAGCTCCAGCTTTCCTTTAGATGAGTATTCCTCAGCCTTCCACTTTCCCTGAGAGCACTATATTTTTTTTAGTAAGCAGTACTATTTGACATAAAGAAAGGGAAAGGGCCACCTGTGTGGTCTGCTGTTGAGGCTTAGGTAGAAGAGGTTAGGGAGCATTCTGGCCTTCCGGGCCCCTACTTTAACATATAGTGCTGTGGATTCCATCGGCTAGAAAACAGGGTTTTGAAATTTTTGAACCACTCTGCTAGAAATTCAGAGATTCCTAAAGTATATTAAAGCATGGGATTAATGAGTTGATGTCACTGATAACAACTACAGGCAACTCTAGATTATCTCAATGAATTGGAAAACTGAAGTGCATTGATATTTAGTAACTTACACAAGCACCCACACAACTGAACCAAGGATCTCCAATCCTAGGTATTTTATGCTGCTTCTCTAAATTCTGAACTCTTCATTAATTCTACAAACATTTATTGAGCACCTACTGTGTTTCAGGCAATGTGTTAGGCTCTGGGGATACAGCAGTGAACAAAATGGACATGGTCCCTTCTGCCCTCGTGGAATTTCCAGTACACATTTTGGCACATGTCACTGGAGTTAAGCATTCTGGAAGTACACGCAAAATTAGCTTCTTGAAGAAGATATATACATTAAAGAAGGGATTTCTATTAGCAAGGGTATTTTCTGTGAGCCTCTGAAGACTGCATTTTTTCAGGTAGAGTTATTTCTGCCTCATTCAGTGTTTACTCAGATGCCTCCTTCATCAGGTCTGCCTGATCCCTTTCTGTGTATTCTTCTTGTGTTAGTGACTTCTCAATGTTAGTTCTAGCACCCACTCTTTTTAAAAAGTGTATTTTGTATACTTATATGATTATTAAAATGTTACAATATATGTTTATCATGGGAAATTTAGAAATTAGAGAAATGTAGAAAAAATATTTTTTTAAATGGATATATAACCCTATCACCCAAAAAAGATATTTTGGTTCATTTTTTTTTCAATTTTCTTTCTGTTCATGCTATTTTGTTTTATTGTATATATTTAAGATGTACAGTTTGATGTTTTAATATATGTATACATTGTATATGTGTGAAATGATGACCACAACCAAACTAATTAACACCTTCATCACCTCACATAGTTACTATCTGGGTGTACTTTCTGAAGATCCACGTTTAGAAAATTTCAAGTGTATGATACATTTTTGTCAACTGTAGTCACCATTTTGTAATTAGATCTCCCAAACTTATTCATCTTTTAAGTGAAAATTTGTAGCCTTTGACCAAAGTCCTCCCATTGTCCCCAACCCCTAGCCCCAGTAACTATTATTTTATTCTGTTTCTAGGAGTTCAACTTTTAAGATTCCATGTATAAGTGAGATCATGCAATGTATTTGTCTTTCAATGTCTCGCTCATTTTGCTTAGCATAATGTCCTCTGGTTTAATCCATGTTATAACATGGCAGGATTTATTTCATTTTATGACTGACTGATACGTGTGTGTGTGTGTGTGTGTGTGTGTGTGCCTGCACATTTTCTTTATCCAGTTATCTGTCAGTGGACACTTAGGTTGTTTCTATATTTTGGCTATTGTGAGTAATCCTACAATAAGCATGGCAGTGCAGATATCTCTTTGAGATACTAATTTCATTTCCTTTGGATTTATACCCAGAAGTGTGATTGTTGGATCATATGGTAGTTCTGTGTTTTCTGTGTTTAATTTTTTGGAGACCCTCCATACTGTTTTCCATAATGGCTATACCAATTTACATTCCTACCAACAATGTACAAGAGTTCCCTTTTCTCCATACTCTTGCTAACACTTATCTTTTTTTATAGTCACTATTTTAACAGCTGTGAGGTGATATCTCATTCTGATTTGCATTTCCCTTATGATTAGTGATGTTGTGCACCTTTTCACATAGTTATTGACCATTTATATGTCTTCTTTGGAAAAATGTCTATTCAGGTGCATGCTATTTGTTACATAGCTATGACCATACATGAGTGCTTTTAACTGAAGCTCTCAAGTCCCACCGATCATCTCTTTAAACCTCTAGATATAAATATAGGCTTCACCACCAACAATGACTGATTGCCTGGTTTTTTCTGTTCCTTGTTTTGTTTTTACAGCTGTGCTGATGGTCTTTTCTCTGATATCTGTCACCTATGGGGCTACCCTCTGCAATATGTTGGCTATCCAGATCAAGTACGATGACTACAAGATTCGCCTTGGGCTACTAGAAGTCCTTTGCATCACCATCTGGCGGACATTGGAGATCACTTCTCGCCTCCTGATTCTGGTGCTCTTCTCAGCCACCTTGAAATTGAAGGCTGTGCCCTTCTTAGTGCTCAACTTCCTGATCATCCTCTTTGAGCCTTGGATTAAGTTCTGGAGGAGTGGTGCCCAGATGCCCAATAACATTGAGAAAAATTTCAGCCGGGTTGGCACTCTGGTGGTGCTGATTTCAGTTACTGTCCTCTATGCTGGCATCAACTTCTCTTGCTGGTCAGCCTTGCAGTTGAGGTTGGCAGACAGAGATCTTGTTGACAAAGGTCAGAACTGGGGACATATGGGCCTACACTATAGTGTGAGGTTGGTAGAGAATGTGATCATGGTCTTGGTTTTCAAGTTCTTTGGAGTGAAAGTGTTACTGAATTACTGTCATTCTTTGATTGCCTTGCAGCTCATTATTGCTTATCTGATTTCCATTGGCTTCATGCTCCTTTTCTTCCAGTACTTGCATCCACTGCGCTCACTCTTCACTCATAATGTGGTGGACTACCTCCACTGTGTCTGCTGCCACCGGCACCCTAGGGGCAGGGCTGAGAACGTGGAGCCATCCTTTGAGGCTGAAGCAAGGCAAAGCATTGTCTGATTCTATCTTCTGGGTATTGTAAGATAGGTTGGGGGTCGCCAAGAGCAACTGGGAAGTTGAAGGAGAGGATGTGGCTTCACAAGTGAGGTACCCATCAGGTCATTTTTTTGAGTTTTCTGTTAAGCCAGCCTACCTGAAAAAAAAGCTACTTCCCACTAAGTTTTATTTTCTTAAGATTTACTGCTTTATTTGGATACTAAGGGTATCCACTGTATAGCTGGAAGGGTCAGAGATACTGTTCACACTGCTCCTTATCCAGGTCAGTTGAGATAACTTACCTACAAGCACCTATGATCATCTAGTTCTGCTCATTTGCTTGAGGCATTACTGAGCTTTTCTGGACTGAGCTTAAGGTCCCAAATTTTACTACAATGTGTCATAACTGATCAAAGGATGTAACAGATTACTAGCTATGAGTACCTCCCAGGAAACAGCCTAATGTGGAATCCACAACTGTAAATGTAGCTGGGGTCTTTTAGTTCCAATGAGAAGCTCTGGCTAAGAAGGACTCCCTCCCCTAACCCCCGCCCAACTATTAAAAGAGCTGTGCTCCAAACAAGTTAGCTCTCTGTTAGGATTTTACTCGTTGTCATTCAGCAATGATTTCTCTTTTCAGCAGCTCTTCATAGGCACATTCTGAGAAGGGAGCGCAGAGTAGGATTTCTTCAGGACATAAGCCAGAATGATTCTTTTTCTCAGAGACCTGCATGGGCATCCAACTTGTCAAGCAGAATGACTGAATGAAACCTCTCAGTACCTCATTAAGAGGAATTCTGTCCAACCTAGCTTTTCTGTGCTCTTGGCATTTTACTACTTGATGTGGACCTCAGAGAAGCTGAACTGTAATTGAAAATGTTTCTAATGTTAAAGAAATGAAGACTGCTTGTGTCTGCTATTGTCCTGTATATTTCCTTGATTTGTTTTTTTAGGAGACAGAGAAAGTAATAATGGCTGGAATCTATATGCTATTTGGGATAAGTGGCTAACACTTCGAGGTAGAGTGAAGGCAGAGGAGGGAAACCAGGTCACATTAGATCATCATCAGTACTGGTTTCTGCCCACAGGATTTTACTTTCTAATAAGAAGCATATATTTATGAACCCTCTGCTCATTCCTACCCCTCCCCCTTCCAGGGAATGAATACATGTGTCCCTTTCTCGTGTATCTCAGTGTTTATGTCTCATATCAGTTGGGTATTTTGATAGGAATGTCAGCCGATACCTCTGAGGTAACCAAGGAATTGAAGTTAATATGGCCACTGCCTCTTGGAACCAAATGTCCCAACATTTACCTAACTAATTCTTGCCCCTAACAGACCAGGAAAATTAGAAGAACTTCATAGTACCATGTACCAGTTGTGGCCACCACAGCACTTCAAGGAATTGTAAATAATCTAACCTAAGACTTCCCATCCTCATCCAGTTTTACTCTTGGGATTATGCTAAGACTTTATTTTTAGCCATTTAGCCTCCTCTTATCCAGTGTTGGGAGATTATGTTGAGGGAGCTCTCTCTTTTAAGTAGCAGGACTACTAACCAGAATTATCCTATTTCCTGGCATGGCTAGTGTGGGCTTCCTAACTCCAGCCACTGTTTGGGGGCTAAAAGTATTGAATACTTAATTTGGGGAAGAGTACAGTGACCCGCTTTGAAACAGCAGAGATTTCCTTTTTCTTTTTTTTTTTTGAGTTGGAGTCTCACTCTGTCACCCAGACTGGAGTGCAGTGGCCGCTCCCGGCCACCGCAGCCTCGACCTGCTGGGCTCCAGCGATCCTTCCGCCTCAGCCTTCCAAGTAGCTGGAACTACAGGCACGCGCTACCACGCCCGGCTAATTTTTGATTTATTGTAGAGATGAGGTCTCGCCAAGTTGCCCAGGCGGGTCTCGAACCCGCGGGCTCAGGCAATCCACTCACCTCAGCCTCCCAAAGCGCTGGGATTACAGGCTGAGGCTGAGCCACCGAGCCCAGCGAGATTTCCTTTTTCAACCTTCAACTCCCTCATTCCATTTTTCATGATGAAGAAGAGTCTTTGATGGTTGTCATATAAAGCTCACACTGCCAGTCTTCTGACTGCGTTATTCAAGGTGAACTTGAAAGAAATGATCAGACCTTATGAAGAACACATTGTCTCTTTGGAATTCAAGAAAGAATGTCTCCCTAATGGTCACCATGCTCTCAATTAAGAGCAGAAGCTGTATGGAACAATAATTTGATCCATTAAAGCCACATGAATCAGTTACTTAAGCAAGCGGTGGATGCTATGGAAACATAGAGAGAGACGCCTGCGCTCTGAGCCAGGCAGGCCAATCAGAGCTACAGTGGAGCTGCATAGGGCAAAAAAGCATGCCTCAGTACTGGACTGGGCAAAATATTCCCTCCACGTATCCTCCCCAACCTTCTCAGTGACTTAGTATCTGGGGAATGCAGGGAGTTTAGGGAGAGGGGTGTGGAGCAGCTTCTGACCTGAAAAACCTGCTGCCCTCACCCAATAAGAAGAGATTCTGGTGATATATTATGCAAATGAAATCTCAGAACTTCCTGTAAGTGGTGGCCTTTCTGTTCCACAGAAATCTTCCAGATAAACAGGAGAGGAAAGGAATTGTGAAATATGGTAGTGGGGCAAGGGACGCTCCCTCTCCCATTTGCAAACACTTTTAAGTGGACTACCCTCTTTTTACTCTCTGGAGTCTTAAGGCAACACAGGGTACATATGTACATATAAGTGTTGCTGAATGGAAGAGGAGGCAGAGATGGGAACTGGGGACAGCAAATGGTTTCTGGATATAAAAGGCAAAACCACAAATTTAGGAGAAAAGAACTAGGTCACTGTAACTATAGCTGTTCTCATATTATTAAAAATTTAGTAGGCTAAGTATGGGCAAATCAGTATGTTAGGGAAATGTATTAAATAGACTAATAGTTGTCCATTTCATTTGCTCCACAAATATTTTAAAGATACTGGGCACAGGAGTATGAGGTTTTGGCAAAATTCAATAATAACTTATATTTATGAGCACTTACTACCTGCCTGGCACAGTACTAGGTGCTTTATATGTATTATTTTATCCAATCCTCAAAACAACCCTTATGAGGTAAGTACTGTTATCCCCCATTTTACAGATGAAGATTTCAAGGCATAGAAATGTTAAGTGACCTGTGCAAGGTCATAGCTAGTGTCGGAGCCAGGATTCAGCCTTAATCTTACACTTTTAATCATGACACAAGCCTCTAATTCCTCTTAGGTCCTTTGTGAAATTATTTTATTACGTTAGTGGTTTCAGGAGTATTTTTTGAGCTATGGCTGGATTCATACTAAGCGGTCTTTCACCCAAACACCGTCAGGAAGCCCCACTAGTTCCTTCTAGAGAGAGAAAGATCACACTCATAAAAGCCTGGGATGAAAACTGAGTGTGTGCTCACATGTACTTGTAGATTGGTGCAAGGTGGGTGGGGCAGGATGTTAGAGGGACCTATTTCCTTTCTAGTTTTAGGAAATTGTCTTCTGTGTGTTCTTAAATCCACACACTCCCAAATCGTGGCTGTGGGAAGAAAACTGAAGAGAACAACTTCTGCTCAGGATTATATGAACTCACAAGCAACCAGTTTCTCTTCTACTTGCCAACACTGCTCTCCTGCTGAGAAGCTAACTCCTAGTTCAAGAGCAGGCCAGCGAAAGTGGATGGTAGAGAATGATGCCCTACCCCTAGAGGGGCTACAAGTAAGTATCAAGGCCAACCTGTGTGAGATATGAGAACTAAGTGTGAAAGGAACATATTCCATGTGTGAAAATAACATCTGAATAGAACTTTAGAATATGCAAGACACATTTATACACATCTGTTACCATTGCATCATTTTTAGGACAAACATGCTTGAGTTGTACACACGGACTTTCATTGTTTTAATCTTCAACTCACTAACCATTAAGCTTTTATTTTGTGCCAGTAAAGCCTATATGGATATTTCAAAGAGCTATATAGATACTGAAAGACTCAAAAATGAATTCCAAATAGCTAGTGTAAGTGTTGTGGGAAATAAACAGTTATTCTCAAACAATATTGGTATGAGTGTAAAATATTGGTGCACATTTTTGGAAGGTGATGTGTTAATATTTGTCAAAATTCGCATAAATTTTGTCTCAGAATTTTAACCTGCAGGAATTTTTCCAATGGAAACATAGTCACAATTGTACAAAGAGATATGTGCAGGGATGTTCATTGCCCCACTGTTTATGATGATGGAAAATTGGTAACTTAACTTTCTATCTATGGGGAAATGATGAACTCTGGCAATTCCATAATTGGAATACTATCTAGCCTTAAAGATGAATAGGGTGATAAAACATGTGCTGAATAAACAGATAAGTGACAAAAGCAAGAATAAAATGTATGAGGTTACAAAGAATCATTCAAAATTTGAAAATAAGGAATGATAGGAAGAAAAAATGACCATCCCCCTAAAGATCTCCATGTCCTACTCCTCAGAACTTATGAATGTGTTATGTTACATGGCTGGGGTAATTAAGGTTGCTAATCATTTGACCCTGAAATAGGGCAATTACCCTGGATTATCCAGGTGTGCTTGATGTAATTACAAGAATCCTTATAAGAGAGAAGATGATATGAAGATGGAGGTAGAGAGTTTTGTAGATACTATGCTGTTGGCTTTAAAGATGGAAGAGGCCATAAACCAAGGAATGCAAAGATATAGCTCTAGAATCTGGAAAAAACAAGGAAACATTCTCCCATAGAGCCTCCAGAAGGAGCATGACCCAACTGACATGTTGATTTCAGCCCAGAGAAACTAATTTCCAACTTCTGAGCTCCAGAACTGTTAAGATAACAAATGTGTGTTGTTTTAAGCCTCCTGGTTTGTGGTAATTTGTTACAGCAGCACTAGGAAACCAATACAAAAGGAAAGATTACTTGATGTTTGAATGCCATGTTAAGATCATTTTCTCACAGACCTATCTGGAAGTCATCTGACTCTCTAGGTCTAGAAAATTGTAATTTAACACAATTGAATAGGGTCCAGTTATTTTACAATTCTCTGAAAGTGATAAGATGCAGTGACATTTCCTGTCCACCTAAAGAAAACACCATGGGAGAAGGGAAGGGATGAAGTGGTGGAACACAGAGGATTTTTAGGTTATCAAAAATACTCTAGCCAGGTTCGGTGGCTCAGCCTGTAATCCCGCGCCTTTGGGAGGCTGAGGTGAGTGCACGGGTTCGAGACCTGCCTGGGCAACTTGGCGAGACCTCATCTCTACAATAAATCAAAACATCAGCCGGGCATTGTAGCGTGTGCCTGTAATTCCCTCTACTCGGAAGGCTGAGGCGGCAGGATCGCCGGAGCCCAGCAGGTCGAGGCTGTGGTGGCCAGAAGTGGCCACTGCACTCCAGTCTGGGCGACACAGTGAGACTCCAACTCAAAAAAAAAAAAAAAAGAAAGAAAATACTCTGAAATGACGGGTACATATCGTTGTACATTTGTTCAAACTCGGAATGTACAACACCAAGAGTGAACCCTAATGTAAACTATGGTCTTTCTGTGATTATGGTGTGTCAATGTGGGCTCATAAATTGTAACAAATGCACCACTCTGATGGGGGATGTTGATAATGAGGCAGATGATGCACATGTGAGGGTAGTGGGTATATGGAAAACCTCTGTACCTTCCTCTCAATTTTGCTGTGAACCTAAAATTACTTTAGAGAAATAAAGTCATTTTAGAAAACCTGGAGTATAACATTATTGAATAAAACAGATAATCAATTGTGGTAGTACTAACGATTTAATAGGACTGTCTTGCCTCTAAAAATTGTAATTTTAAACTCATCTTTATAGAAATAAAGCTATATATTAAACTATATGTTAATAGTAAAAAAAAAA